GGGAAAAAATGCACAGGTCAGATCGGTAAAGACTGCAATATATAACAATCGGTCACGCAACTCTTGCGCAACTCTTGTCACGAAGTTAAGTTGAAATAATTATTTCACAAGAGTAGCGTATGATAATTTCTTATACGTATATACCAATTGGTCGGAATTCTGTGGTATAAAGCAGCCCTGAAATACATACGGCAATAAGTGAGAACAAACAGGATGAGAAGTAATACTAGTAAAATTTAGAGTTTTACCGAGAGCGTAGAAATTGAAAGAAAAAGAAATAATCTCAAGGAAGTCACTCTCAAGTTATTTTTAGATGTGGTATTCAATTCTCCCGCGGATAATGTTACCAAGCGCGTTGCTTGAGCTCACCACAAGTGTAATATTCGCGTCACAGGATTGGCTAATTCTAGATATCTGAAGCGGGGAGCGATCTAAAAGTAAGTTGAGAAGGATAACCTCCCGGACGAAGAGAGTATAAAGGCCTTAATGCTAAGGCTATCTCCGGCAGACTCCCATATAAAAAGGAGGGCGGTGCTCGTCGTTCCTTTTAGGGGCTAAAAAAGCAGTTTTGGTACCTTTTAGGGTGATCAGTCTCAAAAGGTCCACAGCTGGAGCTTTTACGGTACCTTTTAAGGTATTGAGCCAAAAAATATCACAGGCGATAATGTGTTACGGAAGAATAGGCACCTCTCAAGGGAGAAAAAAGTTCAAGCAACGCCCACAAAACGGGATCTTGGCGCCTTTTAGGGGTTCCTTGTAAAATTTCCGACGAGCACCCTCGTCCTTTTAAATGAGAGTTCCACGGAGATAGCCTTGGGAATAAGGCCTTTATATTCTCTTATAGAACCGCATATGATGACCGCAGAAGGAACTACAAAGAAGAAACCAGTGAGTTTGTGGCTGTTCCTGCAAACGCCATGGGCTTTGTAATCGGTAAGAAAGGAAATACAATTAAAGATATACAAGAGAAGTCAGGTACAAGGATTACCAAGACTGACAACAATGCTACTCCGAGTGGATTTCATGTCCTTGGTAATGAGGGTCAACGAGCACAAGCCAGAGAACTAATCAATCAAAAGGTGGTAGGTGACTGTTTAAAAGAAACGTTAATGAAATATATTGTGGTAAATGAGCAGAGATATAGTTAATGCCATATCTCAGAGTCAATT